TATTCGAACAGCCTGGCTTAAGTCCAATTATCAATAATTGTGGCTAAAAAAGCCTTTAATCAATCACGTTTTGGCAACCAAATTGCCTACAAATTAAATCAACACATTGGCAACAAATTGCCCCACGCTTCAATCAATTTTTGCAAACCAAAATTACCTATAAATTAGAATTAACCACTTTTTAGCGAACAAATCGGCTTAATCACATTTTCGGCTAAAGCCTTCAAACAATTGCTTTTGGCAATAAATGCGCTTAAGTTCAATCCAATTTGGGCGACCCAACGCCCAATTCAATTCAATTTTCAGGCAATAAATTGCCTAAATCAACTCTTTTGCTAAAAGCCTTAAATCAATCAATTTTGGCCGACCAACGCCCCAATCAATCATTTTTTTTTTGGCAAAACTAATTTGCCTAAATCACTCTTTTTGGCTAAAAAGCCATTAAGAATTCAACATTTTTGGCATCAAATGCCTAAAACATTCAAATCAATCAGCTCTTGGCAAAATGCCTAAACAATGCACAAAGCATACACATCACTCAGTGCATTGAGCATACCCATCCAAAGCCTTCAAAGGTAAGCCTAGCCGAACTACGTTGACTTTGAGTCTTCCATTCAAATGGAAGTACGTAGCACGTTTGGGATGTTAACCCGGGGCGGCAAGCGAATCCACTTAAAATTGGTCCTGATACATTAAATCACCTTGCAAAGCGTTCATTCATGGTTAGTTCATCAGCATGACATAGTCTCGGGATTCCATTCTCGGGTTTGCACGCCAGCCTTAAACATTGGGATAATTATCTAGTAACTAGGTTTATTAAAATTGAGTCACCTTAGGGTTTTTCCTAGTTTACCCTAAAATAATTAAACAAGGTGGCGGACTCATACACTCACGTGCTATTTCTTCCTTAGTCACATGCATTTCATCTGCATTAAGAATGTTTTGGGGAGGGTCACACCCATTGATGATTTGACTCTTCTTCCTCTTCATCATCCGATGCTTCTATTTCAACATAAGTCGGGCTTCATCATCCAATCTACCGTTAAATCTTCAACAACTTGCATCGGTTTGCGGTATCAAACCATAACTTCTTGAAATGCTCTGATATTGCAAGGTTTGAAGCAGACTCGTTGTTTTCAAGTGCATTGAACAACTGATCTAGCCTTGATTTTACACACTGCTATTCCAATCGCAACGATTCTCATTTAAATGATGGTATGGGACATAGTACACCTGTGCATTCTTGCATTGCCAAAACACAAAAAGGTTCATACTTTTGTTATATCTTCTTCTTTGATTAATAATCTACCAGATTATACTTAGGATGAACTCTTCATGCCAACAATTGGCGTAGGATCAAACATCACATTTGAATAAGGTTGTTGCACTTTCATTTGGTAGGCCCTGGATATTCTAACTCTAAAACCTCAACCAATTTTCCCATTTAAAAAATCGTTGCACGTCAACTGTAGTTTGATCCCTTTATGCAAACACCGCGTTATTATTCTTTCTGCTGCTCCCATAACCCTCAGTGTGAAACTTGTAACCATTTACAAAGTAGCTAGAGTAGGCATTTACAACCGGTTAGAGGTCCTTGCTAGTTTTGTAATTGAATCTGGTTACCAATATCGATTGTCCGAGCGAGCTTCGAGCCTATGGGAAATAGTAATGACACGAGTGAGATCTAATAAATGTACATTGCATGTTGTGTACATTGAAAGTAACTTACATAATATTTGAACCATTTTGCAAATTCAGCGTCCAGTTTTGCATCAACTGCAATATCAGTCAAATTGGGATTTTGAAGCCGCAAAAGATTGATATATTTCCTGTTTATGAATGAACAAAATTAGCATAAGTATGATTTATCTACGCCCCACACGGGGTTTAGACTGTCTACAATATGTATACTTACTGTACAAATGGTGTAATCTCTTTGCAATTCAACAAAATATAAGTTTGAGCCGCTCGTATCTCTGCATCAGTGTCAATCGTCTTTTTTTTTTATTTACCAAATCGTACGCCCAGTGATAGCGTTGAAAAATTGTTAGATTTTCCTTTCAACTCAGATTCTATCGAATCTCCTCCGTTGCATCGTTACGTGGCACTCTCCGAATGCTTGGTTGAGAAGGAAACATGTGGTTCACATTTAATGGTTTTTTTTTAGAGGAATAGTATTAAATTAATCGGATAATATAGCTCAATTTACTTAATAATTTGTTATAACTAAGACAATTTAATGATTTTCTTAAGAGGCGTGAATTTCAAATGTGACAAAGTATTATGAACCAAGATAGTAATTATTAATTTAATATTCAAAATTATTTCTAATAATTCTAAACTATAATTTAATTATTTATAAATTTACAAAAAATACAATAGTCAATTTACTTAATAATTTGTTATAACTAAGACAAATTTAATGATTTTCTTAAGAGGCGTGAAATTTCAAATGTGACAAGTATTATGGAACAGAGATAGTAATATTAATTTAATATTCAAAATTATTTCTAATAAATTCTAAACTATAATTTAATTATTTCATAAATATTACAAAAATACAATTAATATAATTAAACTATAATTTTGCTTAGTTTTATTTTATAATATGTGCTTATATTAACTATTAAATGATCCACATAATTCTATTGGAATTAAATAACTCATCGTACATTATTCTTAAAAATATTTAAAACTTAATCATTTAATGTAAGAACCAAAACAACTAAAGTTATTGAATTGAATAGTAACGATTTTAGTAACAGAAATGCACATTAAATAGGAATAGAATAAAAAATTTAAGAAACTATTTTCATCTAAAAAAAGATTCAGGACAATAATTTAATAAAATATTGTGAAAAATGTAAAGCAAGAAAAAAATTATGATAGGAAAAATTGTAATTTAATAATAATACTTTCTCAATTCCATATTTATAGCTTAGTTTGACGTTCACATACATTAAGAAAAACTAATTAATACAATTAAATTATATTTTTTGTTTAATTTTTCTCAAAAATATCTCTTTATAATATTAAATGATATATATACAATATGGAATATAAATATACACTAAATAGAAATATATTAAAAAATTAAATAATAAATTATCTTTTAGAAAAGAAATAAGACTATATTTTTGTGATAGACGAAATAAAAAAGTGATTCTATACATGGGATAGTGGGAGTCTAAAATACATATATGAGTTCAAAATTTGATGAACCATGTTCAAAAAATAGCAGATGCCACGCTAATGTATCAACTGCTTCGTGACTCGATTCTTATCTGGGCCGAGTCCATCGGTGGGTGGTGGTTGTCTCATATGTTGACTTTTCTCCGTTCATAAATGAAAGTGAGATTTGATTCCTTAAACCTGGCGGTGGTGTAGCTTCCTGTCAAGCTTCGTCCCCAGCTTCCTCTTATTTCTTTTCTTTTGGTAATTTTAAAATGTGTTTATTTTTTTATAATGAATAATTTTTGAATATATAATATTCATTCTATTTTAAAATATAAGTCGTTTTGTGTATTTTAAAAAATAATAAACGATATTTTTTTTAATGTTGTCCTTGTTTATAAGTAGTAATAAATAATATTTTTCTAATATTGTCTTTATTTATATTAAATACAATAAATACTTCACAAGCAACTATTAGTTTTGAGATAAAGAATAATTTGATCAAATTACCTTTGAGTTTGTTATAATCTAGAAGAATTAATTGCTTTATTAATTCTTATGCATAAATTTTAAAGGACTTCTATTTTAGAACAGAATGAGTAAATTCAGGTTACACAGCTTAAGAGATGAGTGATTTATCCACTGAACTAATTGATAGTTGGTTTTGGTTGATTCCTTTTAATAAATATTATTGAAAAAATAGAATATTATTTTTTACTGTTTGATCAATAATATTCTTCTAATTCATTTCACCTCTTATAATTTTGAAAAAAAAAAAATCCTAACAAAATTATTTGTCTTTAAAAGTTTTTAAATGATAAATTTACCAATTTTTCAAAATTTCTTGAAATATTCATAATTATGCATTAAAATGTGTTAAAGTTTCATTAAACCTATTTATAGATCAAATCTATGTAAGATGTCAAATTTATAAAGGTTGAATTTGTTAGATTGGTTATATTTATGGTAGACCAACATTTTTGAAACGTTACACATAGTGTTGTCTCTTTTTTTTTTTTTAAATCTTCTGTCACGATAAACATAATACGATAAAATTGATTACATTAAATATATTAATTTAGTTAAATTTTTATTTTAATAGAACTAATTATAATTTTTCCAATTTAATTTGATTTTTATTATTTAAATTGATAAATTCAAGTGTCACAGAAATTAAACTGATTGAATTAAAAACTAAGTTAAAATTGAAAAAAATAAATCAAATTAAATCACTTTAATTCGAATTGATTCAATTTTTATAAATAATTTTAGTTCAATTTAAATGACCAATTCGGCAACACCTTTTGAAACCAGTAAAAATTCTATCTCTATTAATTGCAGCATTAGCGACATAATATATTTATATTTATTTTAGAATTTGGGGGAGTTTTCTTATGAATATTAAACACTAATGTTTAACTTTTACTTAAATTTTTTTGACAATCAGCTCATTATTTTTTTTCTCTTTATTCAGCTAATTAAAAAATTAATTTAATTTTTTTTCATTTTAAGTTAATCAGCTAATTAAATAACTATTTTTAATAAATAAATATTTATAATTTAAATTGCTATTACTTTTAATTTAAACTGCTATATAAACGGCTAAAAGCTAATAACTGTTAAAACAGATAATATTATCCATAACTTATATTTTTAAAAATTCAATTTATACCTATTAAGTCGTCTGAACCAAATATACTGAATGCACTCTTTTTTAAGTTGTTTTCATATCGTTTGGTTGAGAATGCTAAGGGAGAGGGTCCACCCTACTTGTGCAGTTGTGTGGAATTCATCCACCGCGTCTTCTATCAGCCATCGAAGTTTTCTTGTCTGTGTATTATCCATGTTACGACGGCACCCGATAAAACAAAAAGGAACCCCATAATAAAAAGCCATGATAGACCCACTAACGGTTCTGATTGAACGGGTTTGCATCAATCTAATCAGAAAGACCAATCCTGCGGTTTTGATTGATGGGATTGACTAGCTAAGCCTGACACTTGTTAACACTGTATTATTATTATAACAGAGTGGCTGCTGCTGCTGATATATTGATCCAGTCCACTTTTGTTTTTTCTTTTTTTCCTTCTTCTTTTTTTCCTTCTTCTTTCCATGGGTTTCTGTGCACCCAACTGAGATGAAGCAGCAGAGTGCATGTTAGTTTAAGCAATCTTGAATCTGGTACGAGTCTTGCTCTCTTCCTTTTCTTTTCTTCAATGAGAAAGTTTTGTTCTTTTTATGGGTTTGTGCAGATTGAAATCTTTATTTTCTCTTGTTATTAGTTCTAATTACCTTTTTTTTAGTTTTTGATTGTGGGTATTGAAAAATATTGTGATTTTATATTTTATGTTTGGGAATAGTATTGAGATTATATTTGGGGTTTTTGGGTTAGCCCATTTAATTGAAACAAACTTAGATTTTTAGGTTGATTAAGGGTTTGTTAATATAAATTCTAGCCAAAATCTTCCAAGAAGAACATCGTGGATTAGCTTGAGGATTAGTTATAGTTTCTGCTTAATATTCAGGTTTGGGATCTTAAAGTTGCCTTTAGGAGGTATATATGAGGAATTTTTGTCTTGAGATGTTTGACTTTATAGAGGGTAAAGGTTGCTGGTATTCAATTCTCTTACGTCTGGTGTGAGTTCTTTGAGTAAATTTGTGACTGAAATGTCCTATACTTGTTATGTTTGAAAAAACACTGTAATTTTGTAAATCCTCCCTCCCCTCTCCCTCTTTTCTTTGTTTTTTAGTTTGGGAGGGATGTGTTGAAATAAACGGTTATTTTGGCAAAGAAAGAAAAGTTAAGTAGAGGTTAATTGAGATGTGGGCACATAACTTATTTTTTGGACATCAGAATGCTTTTCATAAGACAGTACCTAATTCCTGTAAAATTACAGGTTCAACTCGTTTACCATTGGACCTTTGAGAAAGAACTTGATAATGGATCATGAAGAGAAGCTATGTGCAGAAACTTGGGCAAAATCTTCATCTTCTGCTGATGAATTACCAAAAGACATGTCTGCCAGCAAACCATCCTTCAACAATTTCAATTTCAATTTGCAGCAACAACAGAAATGGCAAGATACGTCTATCTACAATCTCAGGATTGTTCCACCTTTCCAAGAATTTAGCCCACAATCAGAAACTCAAACTTTACATCCTTCAGATTGCAATGATCAAATGAAAATCATGGATCAAGATGACAACCAAATTAATGAGACCCTTCAAAGCAACAAAATCCAGGATTGGGATCCTAGGACCATGCTTAACAATCTCTCTTTTCTTGAGGAAAAGATCCATCAATTACAAAATTTGGTGCATTTGATTGTTGGCCGGAGGAGTCAGGTTTTGGGACGGCCAGATGAACTTGTAGCTCAGCAGCAGCAGCTCATCACTGCTGATCTCACTTCGATTATTGTTCAATTGATCTCTACCGCAGGTAGTCTTCTTCCATCTGTCAAGCATACACTTTCTACAATCACACCTGCTGGACAGCTTGGGGGGATTCTTTTTCCTTCTGGGGCAGGAATGAATGGTAGTACACAACCTCAACAAAATGCTGGAAGTAAAGTTTCTGAACAGTCTAACCAGATGGATGTTACTGTTAATTGTGGGACTGAGCAGAACTACTCTATCGAAGAACATGAATTGAAAGACGAAGAAGATGCCGAGGAAGGAGAGAATCTTCCACCTGGTTCGTATGAGATCTTACAACTAGAAAAAGAAGAAATACTTGCACCACATACTCACTTTTGCACAGTATGTGGAAAAGGGTTCAAGAGAGATGCAAATTTACGCATGCATATGAGAGGTCATGGTGATGAGTATAAAACCCCTGCTGCACTTGCAAAACCCAACAAGGAATCTAGTTCAGAAACAGTGCTCATAAAGAGGTATTCCTGCCCCTATGCTGGCTGCAAGCGGAACAAGGATCACAAAAAGTTTCAACCTTTGAAGACTATTTTGTGTGTCAAAAACCATTACAAGAGAACTCATTGTGACAAGAGCTATACTTGTAGCCGGTGCAACACCAAGAAATTCTCAGTTATTGCAGATCTCAAAACTCATGAGAAGCATTGTGGCAAGGATAAATGGCTTTGTTCGTGTGGTACGACCTTTTCAAGGAAAGACAAGCTTTTTGGACACATTGCTCTCTTCCAAGGTCATACTCCTGCAATTCCTCCTGATGAAACGAAAGCACCATCTGCCCCATCTGATAAAGGGGATGACAAGACTGTTGGTATGAACTTTAGCTTTGGCCCTGGTGGTGCTAATGGAAGTGGAGCTCAAAATATTATGGATGTGAAGGTTGGTGTGGATGATTCTGTTAGTTATTTTTCACCATTGAACTTTGATACCTGTAACTTTGGTGGGTTTCATGAGTTCCCTCGACCTCCATTTGATGATTCAGAAAGTTCATTATCTTTTCTTATTTCCGGTTCTTGTAATTACAATCAAAAAGCTGGAGGGGACCCTAGTGCTAATAATCTTCAGCAACGTTTCTAGATATTTTGCTATTTGATTGTATTATTTATCCTAGAGTTTCTAATTGATGTTATATTTGTAATTGGAGGATGTCCATTGTAATTGCATTAGTTTAAATAAATTCTCCTCTTTAGCCATTCAATTGATTTTTTGTAGAATATTATTTTTCAGTGACATTGGTTTGTTAAAGAAGACCAATGATTAGCCCACCTGAAGGGCTCGTGTAATTCTCTCTTTATTTGCCTTTTTCTTTCTTTTTTCAAGCTTGCTACTTAAAATTTAAGAAAGAATTCAATTCCTGCACTGACTCTGCTGCTTTCACATGTATATTACAAAGACATGGATTATGGACAGAAAAATCATGCAAGAAAATGGAATAAACAGCTCTTTGATTTATAATGTTGTCTGCCTGAAGCAGGATCTTATCCTCCTTTTCCCTAGTCCCTATTGAATGGGGGGGGAAACAGATGAAAAGAAACGTAATAAAATTATGCAATGAAAAGTCAGGAATTTTGCCATCAAACTTAAATTTCAGATAAATATATATGATTAAGATGTTGATAGAGAGCTTATATTTTTTTTAAAAAAAAAAAAGAAGAAAAAAGAAATTGTAGATAGAAAGAAGAGGTGGAGTAGCATGTTGGGTAGGTGTTACTTTCCTTGTGGAAATATTCAGTGCATTACAGCTATTATGGTTGCCCACCAACTCATCTAGACAACTGTTACAAAAATGTGGGAGTCCCTATTAATTAGAATCAGGCTCCCTAATTAGATATTAATACATAATTATAAAATTAACGTTTTCAGGGAATTTCACAGTTGAAATTTCTAGAATTATGGGTAAGTGTTGCTTCTGCCTCCATAATCATAAAGATAAGTTCAGTAATTCACCTGTCTTTAATTCTTAAAAAGAAAAAAATGTCTTCAGTTTCATGTCTTAGGTCCATTAGTATGGCAGGAATAGTGTCAAAAGTTCTGCATAGAAATACTCTACCATGGTAACTTCAATGGCTTTTTCTTCATAGCATACAGAAAAGTATAGTAGAAAAGCATTAGCTACGCAAAAAATGCAGATATACAGTTTGTTTTAATGGATTGAACGACTTATCTGCCCATAATGAGAATTATGCAGCAGAATGAGCTTCAAACCCTTTGCAGGTTCTCCCTTAATAGATTTCTTTGAAGGGCTCCTGTAGTACTTTTCTTTCAACACTATATCATCCAATACAGACCATGTCTGCCCTCTAGGAGAACTATCTGCCCACAAGAACCTATCTGAGAAAGGGTTCACAAGACTATCTCGGAATTCTTTAGCTGTCTCGCAAACCAAGCCCTGAAGCAACAAGAAATATATAGCTTTATGAGAAACATAGAGAGAAGATAGTCTGGCAATGCTATTTGTGCTGTTGTTTAAAAGAAAAAAAAATATTTCATTGAGGTGTGTTATAAGGTGGGTCTCTTTTCAAACAATTAAAAACAAAACCTCAACGCCAAACAGACACATAGAAGATTAGTTAGATTCTTGACTATGGTACCACCTCTGCCATGGCCTTGATCTTTAGAGTTACTTCATTGCTAAGAAGGACAAGCTGTCCATCACTGTTCATTTTCCTATAAGAAAGAGCACATTCAAGAATATGGTCTTCTGTAGTTGGTGAAACAATTTCAAATAAACTCCCATGAGGTGAAAATGAGACTGAGCTTCCTTTGCTGAATTGTGATGCGGGTGAAGCAGGAGGGGTAGGTGCAATTGGCCTTGCATCCTCCAATGAGCTCTGAACATGAATCCACCATTTTGTTTTCACCATACATTCTTCTAGCCATTTTAAAACCAAAGATGCTTCTGTTGTTCTCCTGAATAGTCTACCACGCTGGTTCAAAGAATCCAGTGCCCGTATGACTGAACAATTAAGCAATTAATGCTTGTCAGAAGATAAATACTTAACGAATATAACCCTAAAATGTTTATATAATAAGAGAAATGGTGATATTAATTACCCATTCTTGGAATGATTAAATGAGTCCCCTTAAGACCTTGTAAAAGCTGTAATGACTTCCTCGATTCCTTGTCTAGAAGAGATGTTGTATCTGCTATCATAGTCCATCTCCCCCTTCCATCTCCAACAGATTCAATCTGCAAGACATTTCAAGTATTTACAATTAAACGCGTATAAAAAGAATGAAACATTGCAACAGAATTATTCTAGTCATTTTCTACTTACAGACGTGGAGTTCTTCTGAGTATATTTGATAGAATTGCTGCTTCTAGCAGCACCACCAGGGATTGAAGCTTCAGATATGCTCTTTCCGGGGGAATTGGTAAATAATGATTGGAAGGGAATCCTTCCTAACCTAGCAGCAGCAGTAGGGACTGAATCTTCGGATATGCTCTTTCCAGTTGAATTGGCAAGTAATATTTGGAAAGGAAGCCTCTCTTTTCTTCTTTGCTCTGGCATGTTGTCTCCTTCCAACTTGATTTGGTTCCTTGAAGTTAGTCTTGCTGATTTCCTCTGTTGGAAGAACTTTGGTGTCTGATTCTCTTTGTCTGAACTGGCAATCATGTCTTCTCCTGATCTAATAACGGGGCTAAAAGTAATTTTTGGAGAGGATAATTGAATATCTTCTATTTTACCCTTCTTTTTCGAGAATTTCAGAACAGAAGTATTTGGGATATGATTCTCCTTATCTGGAGTAAAGAGTTGTTCATCAATTGCTTCTGCACCAGAAAAAAGAGCCCTAGTAATTGATTTACTTTCTACATCCTCTTGATTCACCCACTCAACACCAGGATCAACATCAACCATTCTGATTCTTCTCCTACCAGTACTTGTTTGAAGCTGAGGAGCCGTAGCAGGTTTACCTCTTCTTGACCATATGTTACAGGAGCTGGATTTTTTCTCTGACCTGGTCTCAATTGTAGGGAATGCAGATTCTGGCGTCTGGCTTTGCTTGCTATCTACAATCTCATAGAGAACTTCGCCAAAAGGCAAAGATGAGTTCACAGATTCTGTTGTGAACACGCTCTGTGCATAGTCTTTTCTTGAAGGACTTGAGTTTTCTAGTTCATCAAATGTTTCAGTGGTCTCAGGATCTTTAGCACATACAATTTGTGGGCTCTCCAGCCCATTCAATGTTTGGTTCTTTGCCAAATTCTCTTGGTTTTCTTGTTCATATGATGGATCCAAATCAGGAAGATGCAGTGGAGTCTGGTTTTCTTTGTTGACTTGTTCATGGTTTGTGTCTGAAAGATCTTCTTCCGACAAGGACAACTTCACATATTTTATTGGAATACTATCCTCCCTCAACAAGCTCTGATTTTCAATTTCTTTTAGCATTTCCGATAATGAATTGATTTCTGATTTCTGATCAGATGATAAAGAATCTGAGTTCACCTCAAACTCAACATTGGATTCTTGTCCTAATACTGTCATGGAAACGTCAGTGTTTCCTTTCTCCAGCAATGATTCTTTAGCAGAATAGTATTCTGGGCTCTGCAATGCTCCCTCAGCAGCTTTAAGATTCAATTCATTATCATTTGTAAATGGTCCTTCTATTTCTTCATTCCCACCCTGAACATCATAAGAATTCATGTTTTCTGACATTAAAGATGCTGATGGGATCCGTTTCTTCATAATTAACACAGGATTCTCATCAGAAAATAATAAGACCAAACCTTCCAAAATAGAATCTATAGATTGAATTTTTCCATTTACAGCAGAAACAGAATTCATTTGTGGACCACAAAATATTATATACATATAGATAAAAAGGAATCAATTAAACCTTTTGAAGTATTTTCTACTGTTATTGCCATAATCATTGAGTCTCTCACCTGATATGTTTCTTTTGCTTTCTTTTGAACTTGTTCATTTTCAGTTACCAACAAATATTCATTCTGTACAATTCAAGTATAAAGAAACACATCACCCAAAATATTTCTTTAACATTTTAATTGCCTCAAAAATAAATTCATGAATTCACTCACCTGAGACAGTTTTTCAGCATTTTCATCTTCTTTCTCTTCAATCATTGCTACATCGGACGTTGATACAAATGTATTTTCTGTATCATATGCAGAGCTCAAAGGAACCCAATGCAACCTATAGACTCTAGTTGAGCCACCAACTCTTATTGTATCACCCTCATTCAGCTCTACACGAAACCCTGGTTCAATCTTCTTCTCCGAAACCCAAGTCCCATGAACTATTCAAGACCCACAAACCCATCAAACACTAATGAAAATGGCAAACTTAAAAGTTTTCCGGAAGGAATAAGAAGAGAACAAGAATGTATAAATATTCAATTCTAGAAAAATTAACCCAAAAAATTAAGAAATACGCATAATAATGCAATAACTCGTCAAGAACAAAACCGCTGTAAAAGAAAAATCGACTCCATAATAACTCCAAAGATCGAAGTAGAGAACTGGAGCGAGAACCCATGAACCATATCAAACTCTAGAAAGCTACCAAACTATTAAAAATTAAAGAAATGAACAATAATCCCAAGAACTAGAAAAACCATTAAAATTCAATGATAAATTAACTAATAAAATGCAATTCAAAACTGAACTAACCAGAAGATAAATCGGTAACAAATAGTTTTCGCGCGGAGAGCTTTGAGTTGATTTGAAGGTGGAATCTACTAATGCTTGGATGCATTAACACAATATTGCAATCTGGGTGTCGACCAACGATCAAGATCTCCTCAGCTTCCCCATCTGGGTTTTCCACATTTTCGACGTTGGCGATCAAATCAAGCTCCAAAGGTGGTGGTTTGTTCATGACAAAAATGTTCTTGAGAATCGCACCGTTCTTGATTACCGTGAAAACTGGAATCTTTTTTTCATCCTCTTCAGGTTTTTTATCTCGATTGGTACTCATTGTTAGGGTTTAATCAATTCTCTCTCTCTCTTTCTTGGATTTTTCCAATGGTAGAAAAAGAGAGCGGAAATTCTTGGAGAAATTGGGGAAATTTTAGAAGGTTTATAGTAGGGGTCTCTTCCGAGGGGGAAAATAATGGTGGGATTTTGATTTTGAAATTTGTTTTAAAAATTATGAACGTTGAGATTTTGTTTATTAATATAACGGCTATCTATATGCAGGCATGTCCCACCTCTTCTTTTTGAAACGAGAATCAAACCGGACCTAAACTGTATTGCAGATGAATAGAAATCAAATCAGAACCGTCTGTTTAAAATTTTAAATCGGAATTAGCGGTTCAAAAGCCGGTTAAAGTTCATGTAAATGCTAAAAATCTGAACTTGAACTGGACCGGACCGGGAATTTTATATTTGCTTTTTTTTTTTCCAACGTGCATTGCACGTTATTTGTACTCGTTCACTTTTACTCGTTGTAAGTAAATATAACTTAAATTATACACGTGGATACCCGTTATCTGTACTCTTTATACAATTTTGCTTTTTTCTTGATTTATTTCAAAAGTTTATTATATGTATGATAAGATATTGAGAAACAAAAAAATAGATAGATAACTTGGTATTTTCTATTTAAATATTTACTATAACTTTTCACACTTGTTTATGTTAAAAATAATGATATAAATTATTCATTACAAATATTAGTTACGATTGTTCCCTTTACCCCGGTCAATCTCCTTCTCCCTTTTGAAGGGTTGCTGTATTAATATGTGATTCAGCCTTTTTCAATAAACTGTTTCACTGCAAAGTTGATATTAGTATCGTTATTACTTTGAACATTGTTATCTTTTTAAACTTATTGATGAAAATTTTAAACGTATTTTATTACCTATTTGGTAGCAAGACCTCTTTGTAGACGACGTCCTTTGTGTATGTTGCATCCTTCTTTTTTTTTTATCTGACTTTACAAGGACTTTTGTTGTGGACATCGATATCCCTCTTGACAGTGCCACATAGACCTGTCCATGTGAGAAAATATCCTATGGTAAATAAACACCCATATTCAATATTGTTTGCCCTTGAGCTTTGTTTATTGTCATTGCAAAGCATAGACGAACTGAAAATTGCTCTCTTAAAATGGAATCGATATCCTTCATTTTCTACAGGCGAGAGAGGTATTCTAGGTAAGAATACTTGCTTCCCTGAGTGTTGTCCAACTGTTATTTCAGCATGTATTACATTGGCTCTAAAATTTCTACACACCATTCTAGTTTCGTTACTGATACGGATCCACCATCAGTCATCCATGGAGCTCAAGGGAACAAGGAGCACAACATGGGAAATCCACTAGTACTTCCAAGTGGACCAATTACAAGGAGTCGTGCAAAGAAATATGAAGCAACCATGTCCTTATACATTCAAGAACAAATTACACAAGAGCTCCATGACCTTGCTTTCAACAAGTGCTATGTAGAACTTGAAGGTGTAAGACGACGTTCCTTTGTGATATGTTGACATCCTTCATAATTTTTTTATCAGAACTTACAAGAAGGACTTTTTTTGATGTACTTCTACTTGACAGAGATGCATAAAAACGAGAGGTGAGATTTTCCACATAACCTTGTCCATGTGACGTAATATTTCCGTATTGCGTAAATAAATAAAACACCCATATTCCAAATATTGTTTTGCCCCTTTGAGCTTTGTTTATTGTCATTGCAAAGCTATGGACGAAATAAAATTGCTCTCTTTTAAAATGGAATCGACTATTCCCTTCCTTTTCTACAGGCGAGAGAGGTATTCTAGGTAAGAATAACTTGAGCTTCCATTCTGCAGTGTTGATCCAACTGTGTGAGTTTCAGCATGTATTAAACATTTGGCTCTAAAATTCTCCACACCATTTTCTAGTTTCGTTACTGATACGATCCACCATCCAGTCATTCCATTGGAGCCAAAGGGAACAAGGAGCACATTATCTATGGAAATCCACTAGGTTATCTTTCCTAAAGCGGTGTACCAATATACAAAGGAAGTCTGCAACAGAAATATGAAAGAAAGCCAGGTGGTCCGACATTTATACATCCTCCCAAGAAGCAGAATTACCAAGAGCTCCATTACCTAAGCTTTTCAACAAAGTGCTTATATTGTTAGACTGAATTGGGCGCGGACGACCTTGAGTCCAATTACACTGATGTGATTTAGCTATTATGGTTTGATGAATTCATACATAAGACAATAATACTCTCCAGATAACTGGAAATGAAAACATTATAGGTCTACGAGCCAAAACGTGCTTATAATCTTTAGCAATTGCCTCCATGCCAACCAAAATGGTGAGATATTTGTAGCTATAGCAATGCCAAATTTTTACGTAGAACTCAGTTGTCTTCAGAGTTACTGACTGCAGAGAATAATGCTCTCAAAAACTCTATAATCAATTACATCTGATAATGTGACACGCTAACCTATTGCAGCGTGCGTGTGATTTAGCATGCCCAGCCTGTCTTATCTGTATAAGTGTCGCTGTCTCTAGCGAGTAATAAAATATATGATTTTCCTTCACACACTCTATGTTTATATGGTTATGTTCCTTACCCATAACACTCTAATACTCTCTATTTGGGGGTTCTATAATTTTTAATGGGTTAGGCCTCTATAATTCGGCAACACCTTGGATTTTTCTATCCTTAATTTTGTTAGATTTAGGCTAATCGGTTATCCTTAGTTGGTTTGGATTAGTTAATCCTTATCCTTATATGTTTCTAATGATTTGTTGTTGGTTTGGATTAATTAGTCCTTATCCTTAGTTGGTTTAGATTAGTTAATCCTTATCCTTAACCTTAGTTGGATTAGTTATTCTAAATCCTTTAAGGATCATGATTTTAGATTTTAGTATAAATAGCTTTCTTATGTTGTTAAACAAATCAATTCAATGAATTAATAAATCTTCAGATTTGTTCATGTTTTTGGCGTGTTCTTTGATTAGAGTGATTGTGAGATTGCTTTCCTCTAATTGCATCAAGAATCAAGGTAAGCTTATCAATTTACTTGTGGCGTTTATCTTATTATTCTTTACTCTATTATTGGTGTTCTTACTTCCTTAAGCTTTGGATGCCATAGAGGGGAGTTTAGTTTGATCTTTGATCTATTCCAAATCTTGTCATAGAGTTCTTAGAATTAATTTCCATAGGGTTAATTAATTTCAAGGGTCCGCGTCAGTACATAGTTATTGAGGCATCCAAATTTTTCTCAAAAGTATATAATCGAAAACAGTTTGGTGAACAAATATCTAGTTTTCCAAGCCGTGCGGAGGATTGTTTTGGCAGAATTAGCTTAGTGCGATAGATGAAACCTTTTAGGTTTATTGTTTATAGATTGTGCATTCCCTTTTATGTAGTCACAACATGTTTCATTCTCTTGATACTTTGGTTAGTATCGCTCTGGCACATATGGTGCCATAGAGGGGGAGTTTAGTTTGATCTTTGAACTATTCCAAATCTTATCATAGAGTTCTTGGAATTAATTTCCATAGGGTTCCGCGTCAGTTACATAGGTCATTTGAGGCATCCAAATTTCTCAAAAGTATTATCGAACAGTTGAATTTCAGTTCTAGCCTGTGCGGAGGCATTCTGTTGGCAGCAGAGTGTTGAGAAATTCCTTTTGGTAGTAGTTGCTTGTGTCATCGACTGTTTCATCGAAACTGTTGTAGATCTTGCTCTAGCTTGGGAACAACTCTATCATCTTCTGATTCAGGCCATTGATATATTCATTTTTTGTTGCTAGTATTGCACGACTTGTCATATACTAGCAAGAGTTTGCGTTCTCTTCAAGCATTGGGAATACTTCATCAATTAATGATCTCTCGCTAGCTTCATCATTGTCATGATTTTCATCATTATCATGATTTACCACCATCTCTTCTGGTATCGTTATGTTTCCCTCGTCGTTTGTCTGCTCTTCTCCATCAACAACTCGAAGCAAGATTTCTCCAAAATATCTATCTGCCCTTGCTCTCATATTTGTTGTCAACAGCAACACTTCCATTCCTCTCCAAAGATAGGAATTCAGGCTCATGCTCAATGTTTCTTATCTTGTAGCTTTTGGCACCACCGGTAGGACCTGTCTAAAATCTCCCCCGAATACCATTACTTTCCCTCCGAATGGTTTTGAACTTTCCATTATATCCCTTATACTTCTGTTTATCGTCTCTATTGCTAGTCTCTTTGCCATTGGTGCCTTATCCCATATAATAAGCTTTACCATGCGGATTAATTCTGCCTTTTTATGCTATTTCGATATGCCACATAAGTTGGATTCTGTTGGGCTCATTGGTATACTGAACCGTGAGTGTGCAGTCCTTCCTCCTAGCATAATTGATGCCGCTACTCCAGATGTCACTATCATAAGCGCTATCATTCCATTTGATCTTATGTTTGCAAGCAATGCTCGATATAAGAACGTCTTACTTGTACCCCCTAGTCCGTCCACGAAGAATACACCTTCGGTGTTTAAGTTTACCCTATCCAGTATGTCCTGTATGCATGGAGCTGCTCTGTGTTCAATTTTTGCACCATAACTATATCCTCTTGTGGTATTTCGATTGCCATTTCATCTACTATTTCCTTTGTATTTCTGCTTGGTTGCTGCGATTGAGGTTGTGGTATATCTGGCAAATTGTACATCTTGATTTCTTTTCCCATGCTCTACAAGTGGTATTCTATGTTCTTCAACATTCAAGAGATCTGTGTATCTATTGAGTTCGGGTGCATTCTATTGAAATCTTTAAGCATCATATCACAGTAATCATTCCATAATTTCCTGACATCTGTCGGCTCGCAATATACTAATATGGTAGCGAAGAGTCTCCTTAGTTCTCTTGGCATCTGGTACGCCACTACTTCATGCATGCAATATGATGCACTCTTATCTGGTTCAAGCAATCCCCTTTTAAGTGCTGAGTCCTTAAATGTTTCACAATGCTTACCGTCTACCGTTAATAGGTTGTCAAATGATTCTGGACCCCTTACATGGTTCAGGAGCAATCTCAAGTAGTACCTTTCTCCCTCAATCGGATTCAAGGCATTCACCCAACATATTACTTTTCTCTTCTTTCTCTTAAACTATACTCTTCCTTGCTTATTCCACACGTAGTG